ACAAGATCAGAAGAACGGAAGAAAAAAATATAAATTGCCAGGCAGTAAAACTGTAGATAAGCAACAAAGATGCTGTTACGGAAACAACAGTACAACGGATATTTTAAGCTCTCGAAGAAATGTTATTTGAAAGTAACGGGGAAAGGGAGAAAGGAACGGTGTTGTGTAGGAAGTGCTGGGAGGAACAAAAATGAAGGAGAGGCGACAAGTGGGAGGACGAAGGTGTAGATGGAAAACAGTAGATCATCAGATTCCCGGACAAGAGACGGGTCTTATCAAGGGGTTTGAACTTAAACTGATAGCATCGAAAGAAGAGTGAAACAGAAAAACATGATGTCATGACAATTTCCCAAAGATCAGGTTTCCATCTTCCAATATTGGCCACAAGGCCAACCGTGATATGATATGAGGCCATAAAGTTTACTGCTCCAATAAAGAGAACAAAGGTCACCAAGTACAGAGACTTGGACCAAATCGGTCTGGTTCACATGAGGTGTAGTTTAATTCTGACAAATGACAAAAAAATTAAAAAAAAAAAAAAAAAATTTACAAGAAAAGTATTGGTTCTGTGTGTGACCCGCATTTTGTAATGTGGACTACTAAAGGTCTGGAGTGGGCCACTGAAAAAAATGGAAATGTATTGACGGTATTGATAGATTACTGAATGATATTGTATTATAGATTTTATGACGCACATTATTAGGTTATTTAAACTTATAGCTGGAAAAAAAAAAATCTTATCTTAACACAATTTCATGTTTAAGAAATATACAATATTAATATATATTTGTAGTTATATATATATTTATAATCAAAATGTATTTCTATACTTTCTATATATTTATATATTTATATATATATTTTAATTTCATATATGTGTAATAAATATATGTCATTTTTCTATCATTTAACTCTTAAAATTATTTCATTAACAGACACATGCACACACCCTGCGATAAACCAGGAGGGGAACTATAAAACGCGCGTTGCGCAATCCGACACGGCGCGGTGTATCAGAGTTTGATGAAGGTTGGTACGGGAGGAACTTTGGAAAGTGTTTACTTAAGTGAACGGACCCAGAGAGTTAATGTTCAGTGTAGAAGACGTGTGATGAGTCACTTCCCGCTACTTCTCTACTCCTGCCTGAGAAACTGACTGAATGCATATGCTACTACAGGAGGCAAACGTTTGCTCCTCCCTCGCCGTGCGTTCGTCTACACGAGCTGTAGAGTTGAGGACGCGTCATCTATTCACATACAGCTAACATCTATTCACATACAGCTAACATCTATTCACATCATCTATTCACATACAGCGCCGTGCGTTCGTCTACACGAGCTGTAGAGTTGAGGACGCGTCATCTATTCACATACAGCTAACATCTATTCACATACAGCTAACATACAGCTAACAGTACAAGCTAATAAAACACATAATGGGAGTTGAGGACGCGTCATCTATTCACATGCAGCTAAATGAAACACATAATGCTGGAGAATTTCCATATTTTTATCTGGTCATTTTTAGACTCTACACTAAGTCTTTAATGCGGAAAAAAACATTTAGTGATGCACTGCCTAAGCTTGTTGTGGTAACTTTTTCTTTTTGTGGCACTGCTAACCTTTCGTGACCTTTCGACCAATTTTAAAGGCTCACTTTCTTCCTCTCATCTTTCCGGTATTTTGTAGTGTTAGGAGAATAAAGCGAGATGCGGACATGGCTGAGATGTCCCCTCAAAACAATGTCAATGTCGTCACGGTCATCGTCACTCTCGTCGTAAGAGAACAAACTGTACAAAAAGTTAACATTAACATTAACTTCTGTACAAAGTGTCTGCACATTTAATGGATATTAGCTTGAAAAAAAAAACAGGAGAAAAAAAAGTTTTAATTTACATAGTACAGTAGCAAAGATGATTTGGTGTTGCCAACTGTCCAAATATTATCTTATGTCTCCACATTACACAGGTGAACGACGACTTTTCGTAAAAGCTATTGTCAAAAAAAATGAACACATTTCAATGATTTTAACACTATAAAATGTAATCATTCCATCCTGTAATAACAAGAACGTGACTACAAGTACATATCAAGATGAAGGACAGACTAGAGTACTGTTTAAAGCCCAATAAGCAGATTTAATTAGAAAACCGACCATGACTCTAGTCACCAGGGCATGTGACCCGGTCATGTGACCCAACCATGTGACTGCAGTAATGATAGTATTACCAGTAATGGCAGTCTGCGCCTGGGTCCTGCAGCGGCATCACCGACACCCACAACAACAACAACAAGCAATTAGAAACAGGATTTTTGGGGAGAAGCAGAAAGCAGAATTCCCAGCAGGCCCTGCAGCCTCTCCTCAGCTGAGCTCATTGTTTGACCATGAAAGGAGGTCATTTAATCTGAAAGACTGACTGAGCTGAGACTTAGGTGAGGTGAGAGCAGAGCGCCGAACTGCACTGCTCAGGTGTCAAGGGTGTAGACTGAAGTGTCTGTTTTGTTGGGTTTTTTTTTTTTCACACTGGCCGACAGAAACAGAACTGATTCAGAACCACTGCGCCCTCTTAGGAAATCAGTTAACCACCAGGTTCTGCCTCCACTGCGCCCTCTTAGGAAATCAGTTATAACCGCGATCCCGGTTCTGCCAACACTGTGTTATGGACGGCGACGGAGCACAACGGCGACGATGCAAACGGGGAATTCAAAGAGGATGTAAATTCGTGTCTGTCTAACTGGAAGACCTTGAAGAGAGAATTCTTTTTATTTTATGTCGGAGTTACGTTCCATTCCATCAGTGTGAAAGTAACCTTTTTTTTTTGCCAAAAATCGGAACTGTGCATTAGTATCATTGTCACTCACTTACACTAACACACTGGTAACATCATAATCTAGGACACAAAAGGTCAAAACTCAGGCCCGGGGGCCGAATCTGGCCCGCAGTGTAATTATATTTGGCCGGCGAGATCATAACAAATGTGTACTAGAGTTGGCCCTCCAGTATCTTAGCTAGTAGCTTCTATACACTAGCAGAGTATTAGCGATGTATGCGCTATGTTGTAGCACAAACATTTTGTTTTTTTTTTTTTTTTTTGTTGTTGGTCTAATTTCTCATGTGTTTATAATATTCAGCTTTGGTCGTTCCCGATTCAATGTTCACGCAGAACTAAAGAAGGGATAAACATGCGCAACCGCACTGGGAATTTGAGTTTGACACGTCTGATCTAGGACATAAAAACATCAGACAAGAGTCGGAGTTGCGCTCGGGAGCCATAATGAAGGGTACATGTAAACAAAGTGTAAACAAATCCTCGTATTTGTCCGCTCTGCCAACTAGTTCCCGTGCGGGTTTTACTGCCGTATGATGGAACAAGACTTCCTTGATAAATTTGTGGGAGACGGCGACGTAACCACAAAACGCTGTTGGTCGAAGACATCATAAACCAAAGGGCCCCCGAATATATGTGTTGATACTATTACCAACGTCAACATATGTTGAGTATATTTACCCTAATTATTTACGTACTGTTGATTGAAAACGATCTGGTTTCCCTCCTCCGAACAAGGCCTGTGTTTTGAAACTACCTTCCATTTTCGTATACCCACTACCAGAGGTGTGGACTCGAGTCACATGACTTGGACTCGAGTCAGACTCGAGTCATCAATTTGATGACTTTCGACTCGACTTGACCAAATGTAAAGAGACTTGGAACTCGTCTTGGGCTCTGACATCAATGACTCGTGACTTCACTTGGACTCGAGCCCCTTTGACTCGACAAGACTCGATACTTTCTCCAAAACCCAAAGTGATCTGTGTAAATATATTATTATTTTGTTTAAAATGACTCGAAACAGAAACGTAAGGACTTGGGACTTGACTTGACACTTTTCAGTCCTGACTTGGACTCGACTCGGTCTTTGCCTGTCTTGACTTGAGACTTGACTCGGACTTGAGTGCAAAGACTTGAGACTTACTTCTGACTTGCAAAGCAAGGACTTGGTCCCACCTCTGCCCACTACTGTACAAGTTACAGCAGTTACATTTCAGCAATAACGTTGAAACAAAACAAAAAAAAATCTCATGTTACGCGAGATTGGTTTAATTCAAGAAAGGCTGAGATGACAGGGAAGAAAAAAAAAAACAACCCAGAGCAAAGTATTTTGGATG